CAGTTCCAGAGGATCTGACAACCTCTCCTGACCTCCGCAGGCACTGCATGACACAGGTGTACTTATACCCATGCAGACAACACACTCATACACAAAAAAATAAAAATAAAGAAAAAAAAATTTTCTTAAATATTTTATTATTTTCATTTTATGTGTATGAGTGTATTGTCTGCATGTATGTGAGTGCACCCATGTCGTGCAATGCCACGGAGGTCAGAAGAGGGCTTTGGATTCCCCTGGAACTGGAGTTAAGGACAGTACATAGCTGCCATGTGGGTGCTGGGAATTGAAACCGGGTCCTCTGCAAGAGCAATCAGTGCTCTTAACCACTGAGCCATCTCTCCAGCCCCAAAGAAAATATTTTTTAAAAGCCTGGTAGCAACAACTCCATTTTTATTTTCTTTCAGGTGACTTCCAGTTTTGTTTTGTTTTGTTTTTAGTATTTTATTATCTTTATTTTTTATTTTTTGGTCTTTTTGAGACAGGGTCTCTCTGTAGCCCCAGCTGTCCTGGAACTCACTATATAGACCAGGCTGGCCTTGAACTCACAGAAATCCACCTGCCTCTGCCTCCCAAGTGCTGGGTTTAAAGGCGTGTGCCACCACACTCGGCCTTATTTTTATTTTTTTATGTGTATGAGTGTAGTGCCTGCATGTATGTGAGTGCACCCTTGTCATGCAATGCCACAGAGGTCAGAAGAGGGCTTTGGATTCCCCTGGAACTGGAGTTAAGGATGGTTCATAGCCGCCATGTGGGTGCTGGGAATTGAGCCCGGGTCCTCTGCAAGAACAGTCAGTGATCTTTACGGCTGAGCCATCTCTCCAGCCCCATGCTTCCAGTTCTTAAAGCTCTTTAGGAAGCTGCAGTAGAGCACTTGCCTGGCAGGCACAGGCCCTGCGGGCTGTAAATATAAGAACAAATTTTAAACAGGGTAAGGTAGCCCACATCAGTAATCCCAGCACTTGGGAGGTAGAGACTCACAAGAAGCAAGAATTCAAACCCTCAAAAACGAAGAAGGGAAAAGAAAAATAAGGCTCTAGACATCCTCATTCTAAAGGATGGTATGCTTGTTTTATGGTTGTTTTATGGTTGTTTTATGTCCCCCCACCCCCAACAGAGCTGAAGACTGAACTCAGAGCCTTGCACTTGTTAGGCAAGCCCTCTATTGCTGAGCTAAATCCCCAACCCCTGCAATCCCTAAAAAGCATTTGGAAGTGAGAATTGTAGCTCAGTGGTAGAGTATGTACTAAGCATGCAAGAAGTCCCAGATTCCAACCCTGTATGATAAAAATAAAAAGATTAAAAAGTATATATACTCAAGGAGCTGGGGATGTAGCTCAGTGATAGAGCCTAACATGTAGACGGCTCTGAGTTCCATGCCCAGCATCACACACACACACACACACACACACACACGGCTGACAAAGGGTGATTGCAGGTATAAGGTCAGCCTGGCCTACACAGTGGAACCTTGTCCATACATACATATATCAAAACAAGCTTGCTTTCTGTCCTCTCTGCCTCATCTCCCTCCAGCACCTCCCGTCTTCAGCAACCCTGGTCACACTGGCTTTTGTTCCCACCCTGCAACCACTTACTTTCTACTAACCCCTTAAAAGGCTAATCTAGAACTCTCCAGCATTCTTGTCTCACCTGTCTGCTAAAGACTTGCCTCTCTCCATGTCCTTGGCACTGCCACCCTCCTGCTGGCCTCCCATCTCCTTCCTACCCCTTAAGTTTATTATTCCTTTCTGTTCCAGGCCCCTTAGCATCCCAAATGCCTCCTACTTGGATGACTCCCAAAGCCACATCTCCAGACAGCAGGTGGCACATTGCTGGGTCCATCCCATCATCTCAACCTCCCCTCTGGCATCCCTGGCATCCCCACCTTTAGTCTGGACCCATGGTCTGAGTTAGGGGTACAAGCTGGTGGGAAGGGGGGACAAGGGTACGTGCCCATAACATTTGATTCATCTACTTTTGTAAAGATTTTTTTTTTTTAATTTTGTGTGTGGGTATTATGTCTGCATGTGTGTAAGTGCACCTGTGTTATGTCATGCAATGCCTGAGGTCAGAAGGCGGCATCAGAGTCCCCTGGAACTGGAGTTACAGACGGTTAGCCGTCATGTGGGTGCTGGGAATCAAACCCAGGTCCTCTGTTAGAACAGTCAGTGCTCTTAACCGCCGAGTCATCTCTTTAGCTCCAAGATTTTATTATTTTGAATTATGTGTATGTCAGAAGGTACATGAGTGCAGGTGGCCTCAGAACCCAGAGACATCAGATCCCCCAAAGCTAGTTACAGGCAGTTGTGAGCCACCTCATGTGGGTGCTGAGAACCCACCTCAGTTCCTCTAGAAGAGCAGTAAGCACCCTTAACATTTGAGCCATCTCTCCAGCCCCATCATCTATTCATTTTTGTAGTGCTGGGGCTAGAACCCAGGTCTGTGTGCATGTTAGGCAAGTACTCTACCACTGAGCTACAACCCCAACTGGACACAGCACTGTATACTAACTACAGCCAACACTGCCTGTATCAAGAGTAGAGAGGGCCAGGTGTGGTGGCACACACCTTTAATCCCAGAGGCAGGCATATCTCTTTGAGATAGAGGTCAGCCTGGTCTACATAGCAAGTTCAGGCCAGCTAGGGCTATCTCAAAAAAGAGTAAGGACAGCAAAGATGATAGAGATTACAGGGTCTAAATCCCCAACTCCTTCCTGCATGGTGTCACTTTACCTCTCTAACACTAGTGACCACCCAGCTGCCAAAAAATGGTTTTTCTGGTACAAATTTCACAAGACTGAACTGGATAAAATATTTCCATAGATTCCCAAAGTTCTCTGGTTCCTTAGGATGTGTAACCTTGAACTGCCTGGTTCCACTTTGTAGATTTACACTCTGAGGGTTCCAAGCACCCACACCTCTGTGCCTTTGCCCAGGCTGTTACCTTCCACTGAAGTGTTCTTCCTCCCTTTCTTCACTTATGTAGCACCCACCTTTCATTCACAGAGTATTTATATTAGGTCACATTGGCTCAGGTCACAGATCAAGAAAAATTCTACCAACACCTTTTATTAGGACAGGTGTGGGACTGGTGTGACTTAACTCAGACACAACACAATGATGGTTACAAGGTTTCGTTTTCAAATGGGTGTTTCTCATTGTAAAGCAGTGATTCATTGTATTCTGCTCTCATCCAGCATCAGAGAAACTGCATCGAAAAATCATCCAGGGAGATAGACAGTTGGCTCAGTGATTTAGAGCACTTGCTGCTCTTGCAGAGGACCTGGGTTTAGTTCCCAGCATTCCCAACGGGAGAGGATCCAATATCCTTTTCTGGACTCCGAGGGCATGGGCACCCACACACACACATACGCATAAAATAAAAGAATCTTTAAAACACCCAACCTCCAAGCCTGTTTCCTTACCGCTCTCTCTCTTTCCCATGCATGTTCTCCCTGAGACTCACAGCCCTGGAGGGGTCTCAAAGGAAAACCTGTTCTAGAAGGCTGAGGGCCTCGAGAGTGTGCTCCATCCTCACTGACTCTCCCTGAATTTTCCCCCAGATGCTGCCATAGGTTCACAAAGCCACCTGTTCAGAGGACAAACAATTCGCTGGAAGACAGAAAGCAATTTTGTGGAGGTGGCAGTCAGGCCCTGAGGCGATGGGGCCCTAGGTTGGACATCTCAAAGATTCCCAGGCCAAACCTCCTCCAGTGATTCTGGCTTGTGATCCTCTGGCCCAAATGCCACACATAATTAGAAGTTATAATCCTGTAATTCCATGATGACATCTTTCAATTTAAATATACTTTAAAACTTTTTTTTTAATCCTAAAAGCAACTCAAAAATCTGCCCACTCCATCCCCACCTGTCTCCAGATTCCCCCGTGTACTATACCACCAGTGAGCAAAAACCCTAAGTAGTCAGTGCCCACGGGAGGGGGCGACTGCCAAGACCATTTGCGAAGTGGATGGCTAGGCTCTGAACAATTAAGAATTGATTGCTCTGTGGGAAGCAGTTTCACTTCCCCATTCGCGTTTACCCGCTGTGCCTTAGATCGTATCAGTTAAAAAAAAAAAAAATCTACGACAATCTCTCAACCCACATGTGATCCTTGGCTAAACCCCAAAGGCTATTTTTAGAATCACTAGGGACCTGAAAGGTGAGGGGCGTGTCACTGAGATTCGCACCTCCAAAGCGTCTTTGTAAGCCAGCTCCAGCAGCGGTTGGGTATCCCTGCGCCCCTGTGGGCTCCAGCTGGGGTCGCTTTTGAGCGATGGAGCTACTCGAGAAATACCTCGAGGGCGACAAGTAGGCGGGTGAGTTGCCGGGGAGCGCCAGAGCGTGCCAAGAGCCCGGAGCCCAGCCCAGTCCGCCTCATCTCTCGGACAACCAGATACAGATAAATCCTCTCGGGCGAAGGGGCGAGATGGCGGTGCTCTGGAACTCCGGGGAGACCCGGGGACAAATGAGGGAGGCGCTCCCGAGGCGCGCTTCCAGCAGCCTCCCTCTCTAACCCGAGACGTCGAAGGGACAGAACACGGAGAGTATTTAGGAGGCGAAAGGAGAAAGCCAGTGAGCCCCGGGGCAGTCGTTTCTATCTCCACCTGTGCCGGGGCCAAGTGCCCTGGGGAAAACTGGGCTCCGGGCGTAGCACCAAGACGCCGAGCGCGACAGCGCGGCTAGGAGCTGGTTCTTTCCCGGTGGATGCCTGCCTGGCGGTGAGACTAGTACAGCTCCAGGCTCCCACCTGCGCCGGGCGGGCCCATGCACCTGCGCTCCCCAGCCTGGCTGCACCTGCTCCGGCCGCCCGGCACGCCGCGGTCCCTTCCCGCTCTCCCTCCCCTTCCCTCGGTACCGCCCGCACCCGCCCAGCGCGCCCCCTCCCCGCCCCCCGGCCTGGCCCACCCCTGCCACGCGCCCCCCTCAGGAGGTTCACAGTTTACGGGGACCGAGGTCCGGGACCTGGAGACTCGCCGCCAGCGCGGAGCGGCTCACCTTCCGAAAGTAGCCGTCGCTCTCTTTCTCCAGAGGCTGGCGGGCCGCGGGAAGCAGCGCATCAGTCATATTGACCGGGCGAGCGTGGAGAGTAGACTGAGGCGCAGTGGCAGCCGAGGGCCCCAGAGGGCGCAGGGACCCGCCCTCGCCCCGCCTCGCCCCCGGAGGCATGGCCCCGTCCCACATGCTTAGGCCCCGCCCTCAAGTCTGAGCGGATGTTCTCCAGCCCGGCCCGAGGCCGTGCTTAAGAGACCTGGGGCCACGCCCACGCTGGACTAGGCCCCGCCCCAGATCCCGCCCTCCGGCCTGTGCAGCTGTCCTCCAGTCAGACCCGAGGCTGCGTTCAGGATCTCTGGGACCCCGCCCCACAAGGCCTAGACTCCGCCCCTACCCCGCCTTGCGGCCCTCGTGGCCCTCCTCCAGCCCCTCCAGAGGCTGAGCCCGAGCCCTGGAGCCCCGCTCATCCTTCTTAGGCCACGCCCCTGGCACGCCTCTGCTCGGGAGCCAGCGATAGGAGCCTGGCGGTACCAGTCCGGTCGACCTTGCTGGGCGCTCTCACCTGTTGGACTTCGGGGTCTTAATCTGGATTGATAGCTCTACCTTGTGGGCACCACGGTGGCGCAGGGGACCGGACAGGGGGTCTTCGCGACCTCAGCAAAGCCAAACCTGGGTCACCCGTTTCTCTGAAGCCCTGGAGGGGGGTGGATCCCCCACCCATCCCCGTACCCCCAGGAGTGCGGACCACCGGGAAACCAGGACCAGGCTTAATGCCATCTCAGGAGCTTTTGATCCAGGGAGGAAGGGCCGGAAAACTTCCCCCAGGAGGGGACCCCGGGCCGGCCTTTGGGTTGGTTGAAGGCGTGGAGGCGGAGCGACCTCCGCAGGGAGAGGGGGCCACCTGCCGGGGGAACCGCAGGAGGGTCTTTGTGCGCTGAAACTCCGCGGAAGTCTTTGAGAATATTTCTCTCCCAGCCTCAATTTTCTCAATTGCAGAATGGAGCCGGGATGAGTCTTTCTCGAGTTGGTCCACGGTGACATGACAAAGGTGCTGGTTAAAACTCTCAGTAGACGGGCTGGGGAGACGGCTCTCGGTTAAAAGCACTGGCTACTCTTGCAGAGGACCCGGGTTCGAGTCCCAGCACTCACATAGCAGCTAACAACCGTCTGTAACTCCAGTTCCAGGGGATCCGACACCCTCTTCTGACCGCCTCCGCCACTGCACGACACGGGTGAGGGGATTCCCCTAGAGTCGAAATTCTTGCCATCTCCTACTGGCAAGTACACAGACTTTGGGATCAGATAATTGGTAGGACAGAGCGCTGGGACCGTGCTGCCTGAGTTCAGAGCCCCCAACCCGCGCGGCCAAGCCCTTCCCAACTGCTGCCCCCTCCCCAAACCAAGGGACACTTTTGAGTCAGTATCATGAGTTTGAGGTCAACCTGGGCTATGTGGCAAGACTGTCTCCAAAAGCCAAAAAGAAATAGGAAAGAATCTATAGAGTTCTAACCAGCTTGGCTTCTGGACAGGTACCAAATATAAAACCTTTCCTTCTTAGGATCAAGGCAATTTCAGTGTATTGTACTTAATCTATTGTCCTGGAAGTCTGTTTGCCTGGGACTGGGTGTTAAAAAGCAGGCATTTTGGTTCAGGGATCCTGGAGTTAATATCTTACTGTGTTTAATACTCATACATTTATCAATCACAGAACCTCAATTCTGACCAGGAAGTTTAATAGCTGCTATATCTTACTAGATGTTTCATTCCCAGCACCCTTCTGCAAATAAAAGGATTAAATAATTTTCATTCCTCAGGGGAAAAGACCTAGGAGGGAGGTGGCCAAGGGCACACTCCCCATTAGAGGTTGAGGTCTATGACTTCTCTATAACCTTCAGTGTATGCCCAGCTCCTACTACCCTCAAGTCCAAATGCTCCCCCCTTTTTTAATAGGGGCATGCTCTGTGACCCAGGCTAGCCTTGAGCTCCAGATCGTCCTGCCTCAGGCTCCCAAGTGTTAGCATAACAGGTGTGCACCACCAAATGTAGCTCAAATTGCCTTTAAAATTTGTTTTATATATACCTCTGTGTGTGTGTGTGTGTGTGTGTGTGTGACTTGTACTATTGTTGGCTTAATGATCTTTTTAAAAATCACAAAACTTTATGGAGACAGGTTCTCATCTATAGCCCAGGCTAGCCTTGAACCCCTCTGCCTCAGCCTCCCAAGTGCTAGGATTACAGACGTGAACCACCATGCCTGACTCAGTTTTATTTTTAAAGGCAACTATGTCATGAGTGTAATAAAAAACCCAGTGATACTTTGCCCTACAGGGAGAGACAAACAAAAGTAAATACAATAAAAACCAAGGTCTCTTATTTAATCTAGTCTGACATCATTGCCTTGTCCAGCTGCTTCTTTTGTTAAAGAAAAGTGAATAAGGGTAGAGTGGTGGTAAAGTGTTTGCCTAGCATGGATAAGGTCCTATGTTCATAATCCCAGAGGTAGAGGCAGAGGTAGGCAGATCACTGTGAGTTCAAGGCCAGCCTGGTCTATATACTGAGTTCCAGGACAGCTGGGCTACAGGGAGACCCCGTCTCAAAAACCACCAAGCACAGTAAAGAGAAAAAGAAAAGGAAGCAGACAGAGACATACCAGCCTGCCTTAAAACTACTTCCTGTGTATCTTTAGCAGTACAAGAGTACCCTCCGGGTTAGTCCCAGCCAGCATCCACTCCCAGGCTACATGAGCCATCTGAACATCATTCCTTGGGTGTTTTCAGGGTCAGGCACCTTCAACATTCTCATGACTCACTGCAGGGCAGCCCACTGGCCTCTCTCTACCATATCTCTCTGATCTCATCATGACCAGGAAGAGACGTGCTGCTCCTGACCTGACAGGGAAACGTTAGACTTCTTCATTTTTTCTCCTCTGATTGATTGTCTGGGCAACAAAAACTGCTGATGGGCCAGGCATAGTGGTACAGATCTGTAATCCCAGCCACTCAGAAGGCTGAGACAAAAGAATCCAAGAGTTCAAGACCAGCTGGATTTACATAACAGACAGACAATCTCAAAATAAATAAACATAAGCCAGGCTAGGTGGTATATTCCTTTAATCCCAGCACTTGGAAAGCAGAGGCAGGTAAGTTTGAGACCAGCTTGATCTACATAGTGAGATCCTGTCCTAAATAACTTTAAAATAAATAAAAATAAAATACCAATAGTCCAGTGGTAGTACAAACCTTTAATCCCAGCACTCAGGAGGCAGAGGTAGGTGAATCTCTGTGAGTTTGAGGGCAGCTTAGTCTATATAGTAAGTTCCAAACCTGCCAGGGCTACATAGTAAGATCCTGTCTCAAAAGGAAATAAATAAATAAATTTAAGAAATAAAAAGAAACTCATTTGGAAGGTAGAGGCAGGAGGATCACAAGTTCAAGATCAAGCTAGAGAGATAGCTCAGTTCATAAAGTGCTTACTACACAAGCATGCAGACCCCAGTTATGTCCCCCAAACCACATAAAAAAGCTGGGCATGGTAGTTCACCCTTGTAACCTCAGCACTGGAGAGGCAGAGACAGGAAGATCTTTGAGATTCACTAGCCGGTCAACCTAGCCTAATCATTGAACCCCGGGACCTAGTAAGACACCTTGTCTTAAAAAACAAGATGGGAGCCCAGCATGGTAACCCATGCCTTTAATCCAGTATTCTGGAGGCAGAGGCCCTAAGTTCCATTCCCAGCACCATATAAAACAGGGTACAGTGTTATACTCCTATAATCTCAACACTTGGGAGATAGAGTCAGGATGATCAGAAATTCAGTCATCTTTGGCTACACAGTGAGTTCCAAGCCAACACACACACACCAAAAAAACACAAGTTTAACTTAGGGGCTGGAGAGAGGACCCAGCAATTTAGAACACAACTGCTTATAACTCCAGCTCCAGCGGGCCCAATGCCTCTGGTTTCCATAGGCACCTGCACATGCATTTACTTCCCAAAATATATGCTGCAGTACATGATTTAAGAATGATAAAAATACCAGGGCATGATGGCACACGCCTTTAGTCCCAGCACTTGGGAGGCAGAGGCAGGCAGATCTCTGTGAGTTCAAGGCCAGCTTGGTCTACACAGTAAGTTCCAGGCCAGCTGAGACTACAGGGAGACCCTATCTCAAAAAGACAAAATAATAATAATAATAATAATGTTTCCTCAAAAGACCCCAGATAGCCAAAGTAACCCAGAGCACAAAGAGCAATGCTGGGGGGATTCCTATACCAGATCTCAAAGTATACTACAGAGCTATAGTCATAAAAACAGCATGAGCACTAGAACAAAAATAGACACATAGATCAATGGAACATCACTGAAGATCCAAACCTGAGTGGGCACAATTTCAGCCACTTGACAAAGGTGCCAAGAACACACAATGGAGGAAAGACAGCATCTTCTACAAATGGTGCTGGTAAAACTGGATCTCCACTTGTAGAAGAATGAAACTAGATCCTTATCTTTCACCTTGCACAAAAGTCAACTCCAAATGGATCAAAAACCTCAATGCGAAACTGGAAACCCCAAAACTATTAGAAGAAAATATTGGCAGTAACTTACAAGATATAGGTGTAGGAAAGGATTTTTTAAAACAGACAGCAGTTGCTCAGGAATTAAGGTCAGCAATCAACAAGTGGGACCTCATTAAACTAAAAAGCTTCTGTACTGCAAAAGAAACTATCAAAAAAGTGAAAAGAAAACCCACAGAATGGGAAAGAACCTTCATCAGTGACGCATCTGACAGAGATTTAACATCCAGAATATATCCAGAAAACCCACAGAATGGGAAAGAACCTTCATCAGTGACACATCTGACAGAGGTTTAACATTCAAAGAACCGAGAAGCCAAATGACCCAATGAAAAGATGGGCTAAAGATATAAAGAGTTCTCAAAGGAAGAAATAAAGATGGCTAAGATACATCTCAAAAAATGTTCAGCATCATTAGTAATTAGGGAAATGCAAATTAAAACCACCTTACGGTACCACCTTACCCCAATCAGACTGGCTAGGGTCAAGAGAACAAATGATACCAAATGCTGGCAAGGATGTGGAGAAAGGGGAACGCTCATTCACTGCTGGTGGGATTGCAAATTCATTCAACGTCTATGGAA